CTGAGAACTTGGAACTGTGCGGCCGCCACTGCGCGATAGTTTTGATCGGTAATGCTTTGTTCATCGTATAGATATTCAATCCACGATTGTTGGATGAAATCCGACGAACAAACTTCATGATAAATCGGACGAATTATGAGAAAATCTTTGAGGGCGTGATATTCATAAATTGTCGATAAGGAATCGATATTTGTTTGAGAAATTAAACACATGTATAATGTAAATAGAACGACGATAGTGAGAAGAAGAACAATGTAGATTCTTGTTGAGAGAATTTCATCGGAAAATTACGTTTCGTACCACCTATTCCGAAAACCTGGCAGCATGACCGGATGTTCGCAAAAATTTTTTCTCCTTAATTTCGTGCAGGAGTCCGGAATGCTGGGTGTCCGGAAACTTTTTGGATTTTGACGGAAGTTCGAAAATTCTCTTCTACCGCAGATCGTAAAATCAAAAAACAAGGAGATTTCAATACACTGACTAGATATTTGGAACAAAACGTTTAGAATGTGGCTAGTTCAGTCACGGCGATTGTAAAATACAAGATTGAATGTAATCTGAAAATGTCAATTGATCTCATCATGAAGTTCATAAAAGAACTTATGGGTAGATCGTTACGAGCATAATGACTTTTCTTTTGTTTTCAATATTTACAAAGATAACTACAAGAATAAGGTAATACTATTACTACACGTTTTATTTTTTATGAACAAATTTTCATTTCAGTATGAATAAAGTGTCGCCTTCATCTCGATTGCTCATTGCTAATCATTAAGGATTTCCGGTTGTTCCATTACGGTCTCTGATTAAATTTGTACCAGTCGATGATTATTGATTGATACTGAGTGTTATAGTTACGATCTACCAGTTATACATCGTTCCGGACATCTGACATATATATATACCTCATGTTTTCGATTACGGACTTGATGATAAAATCGGCATTGGCTTTTTTGTCACGATGTTTGTAACGGACATCGGTTCCGGGAGTTCGTAAAAATAAAGTGGTACGAAACGTAGTTCACCCAGTAAAACGATCCAGCCATGATTTTTCAATTTCGAACGAGCTTGACGATCCAGAACGAAATAGACTAATATGACAATTGAGAGAAGTATCGCTGGAATTTCCAAAATAATCATTAACAAAAATTTTGTTCGCTCACACATTTTCACTTTGAAACTTTGTTTGGTATCAAAAGTAAGACGTCACGTAAATAAGAATATACAGAAGTGAGCTTCCTCGAGTGTAATCTCGCATCGGATAAATGTCATTTCATCATAAGAAAAGACAGCCCATTTTAGGTATTCATCTCCAAAGGATGCATCTTAAGATTCTTTTTTTGATACAAAAAAATAATTATTCCGTTGTAGAATATTTTATGTCATTGACTGAAAAACCTCGAGCTCGATCATTGAGCATGTGGGTGTTGGTGTTGTTGTAGATACAGAATACACTCTCACCCTCAAAGTAGGAAGAAACGAACGAGAAAGACATAACAAAGCCTGATAATTTCATATTCTTCTCGGGATATACGACTTATTTATTCGAAGATAACTAAAAATTGAATCGTTTTCTGAAAGTTTAACATCGATGTCTCAGGAGATTTTATTGAACATATTCTAACATCTCTCATTTACTACTCTGATAACAGACACGGTGTAATTCTACATCGAAATAGTCGATCTCTAGGATGCACAATCGACTCGAAAGAAAAACAAATATTTTTCGATCTTTCATGGTTGGTAAAAATTCTTTTTTTTTCTTCGTTCTTTTTGCTTGTTGTGCTGTTACTTGCTGAAATAAAAGCAGTCGACAGTCGTTGATTACGAGAGTGCTGTGTCAACAGAACGAGCAAATTCTATAATCTTAACATGACTCAGAAAGAAAACAAACGACTTGATATTTAAATTCACATTGTTTCTAACGAAATATGCTTA